TTTTTTTTGATTTTATTCGATTATTTCTTGAAATTTTACTCAGATGAGGTCTTGGGATGTGAGAATTAACTTCAAACTGTCTCCGATGATGTTTGCAGTTACTGTACTGTACGTACTGTTTTACTGTTTTAAAGAAAAAGAGCCCTCGTTTGATAGTATTTGTCCGTTATAAATTAATGAGTTGTTTCTTTAAGACGAGAGCGTCAGTGCTGTGCACTCCAGCCGGTATGGCCCAACTAAAATCTAGCTCAACGAAATCGCCTGGCAGCCGCGAGACATCGCCAGTAAAACAAGTCACAACAATCGTTTGTAACCAAAGTATGTCAATTCTTTCCATTGTAGAACTATAATCAAGTTAGTTTTAAAATACTTAAATGCTATCTATAATGTGATTGAAAAGCAAACTAAGTAATTTAGCCCCACAAAAATTGGATGCAGTAAAGGAGGAGCCTCGGCGTATTCATTTTGCCCATCCCATTGCTGCCACACAAATAGTAGAATACGAATCATCGATGTGTACAACGGTGGTATGTTATTTTACTCAGAATAGCCCATATTCTAACCTCTACCAGCGTCTCATGCTACCAATCTGCCCTTCCTTACTTTGACGGTATTTGAAAAAACTTGTCTTCACTGCTCTAGCAGCTTGTACTTATCTGTAATCTGGAAAACAGATCTAAAATGAAGGAATATCGGCATAAGAACTGGCGATTGCTGCTCTTGATTTGGATTAGTGAATTAGGACGAATCAGTTGTCGTACAAAAGTAGGATGCATCTGTATGTCTATCTATTTGTCTATCTATCTAACTCCCTATCTATCTATCAACCAACCTATAACCTATAATCACAATATATTCCTTTCTACATCTTATCCTCAGTTGGTCAGCTCTATTCATTGTTCGTCTTCATGTGCTACTGATTGGTCATTCGTTTTGTAAGACTGATGAATGTCGGTGTTCAGCGGTTCTCGTAGTTATTCTGGTTACACCTTTAGACGGATTTTTGTGAGTCTTTGGTGATATATTTGCTTTGAGCAATATTATTAGGCCTTGTTTAAGATTTTCAAATGTTGGGGGTATAGAAATTGTGATATCTTTCAATCCTGACAGCTAATCCTTTTATCCTATTACTTTGCCCTTGTTTCTTGTGCTTTTGCACACCGCTCCCATCGTGCCTCGAGCTTACTTCTTCCTATCATGTTGTAGAGAACTGGGCATGTAAGGAATCTCCTACGTCAAATTTATGGAACATATTTTAGAACACTATTGATGAGAGCAGCATTGTGGCTGGATGCGGAATGCATGTAAGTGTAGATACATTACCGATTCCTGCTACAAGGATGTTCCCCAAAAATCAAGACGGCGAGGTTGACCTATCGAGTGATGAATATGGAGCGCATACGTTCAAGAAGAAGGTAAGGCCATCATGGGTGACAGGTGTAGAGTGGCTTGAGCATGCTGTCAACCCGTACCCGAAATTCTGAAGATCTTCTTTCCAATGTTTTTGCGGCTCTACGACTCCCGTACTTGAGTATTGATGAAGGATGTGTGAATTAGGCGAGGAAAATTTTTTTCGAGTACACAAGCGTTTCAGACGACTTCTGAAGTAGTAAAGGACAACGATGGGCAGGTGGATATGTCAAGTGACGAATACGGTGCACATACGTTCCTTAAGAAAGTGAGCTCGTTTTTGTGGTTCACTCATTTAACACACAGTTTGTTGCCGTTTTGTTGCACAATTTAACCCCTCCATGGCGTCTACTCTGTCGTCTTGAAGCTGTTATTAACTTATACACTAATCTAAATGAATTACTGTTGCTTCAGAAAGCGGCCACACCCCCAAAGTGCTCATCGACATCGTCGTTGGCAATAATGTCGCCGAAGCCCTTTGTACGTTGAGCGTATTTTACTTACTGCATGTCTTGCTACTTCCTAATGGATGCTTTTGCACCAGCTAACACGAGTTTATTTTTTCTTAAAGGCTTTTGGGGTTTTGGGCATGGATCAGGGTCGACTAGCCACTGAGTAGTAGCTTGGAATACTGATTGTTGGCCGTCAAGAGTCTCTACTTTGTTGCCAGCAACATTTGCCCAAGTTACAAGATTAGTGCTCTGATCGAAACATCGCCATCTCCCATTTCTGTAGCCTTTTTATTCAAGTTGCTCTTATTCAATTCAGTTTCTCACTCCACGTGTAATACATCCGTTCAACCGTTCAAATCAGGTGCATTTTCTTCTACTTTTGCGACTCTTTAAAGTGACTTTCTTCAGCAGCTCCAGACGGGGATAGGATAAATATTGAGATTAGATTCGGGACATACGGTCCCTCACTTTCAATCTCTTTCCAAATCGCGAATTACTATAGGAAAGGCGAAAAACCTTTCATGGCTCATTTACCTTTCAATAGAAATATTCATTTGTTTCTTCCCCTACTTGCTTACATCTTTGCCATCTTCCAGAAGACCACTAATAACCAGCTCGAGTGCCCCGCAGACTGTTCATCCCAGCATTCTAAACTGTAATTTCTTCTCCCAAAATGATGTCGAATCTTTTTGTCGTAATGTGCATGTTTGCATGTTATCAATCCAAAATGCTTATAACCGTGTGTGCTTAATCTCAACGCTTTGGCTTCAGGTTCGTAGCGCCAGTCAAACACATTTCTCACCAGTGCACTTTGTGAGTTTCACTGTGAAATAGTTGTTCTTTTTATCATGTTAACACTGTGCTTATTTTGCCGACGTGACTTCATTTTTTTACGAGAGCAACACCTCTTGAAAGATAGTACTTGTAAGAAGTAATATGCGCAGAACAGAACATATATTTTCCACAGAACCCTGTCAAAACTTCATCACCGAATTGCGAGACGAAAACTATAGTAATCCATAAGCAGATGACGACGGAAATCCGTGAGTTGCAGAAATGCTATATATTTTTAAGATTCCACTGTTAGGCAGGGTCAGTAAAAAATTTGAATCTGCCAACATTATAACAGTCGAATGACTTTTTGATGTTTTCAAAAATCAGATGACTAGACGGTTTCAGCTCTATCAGAAGTAAATCTGCGTTCAACAGAGAATCGTAAAGACTTTGTGAATGAGTTAGAAGATGAAGCGAAGAAGGCTGCAAGCGGTTCTGGAGGCAATGTTCCTCCGAAGTCACCTTCATGGAAGGTAAGAAATCGAAATTCTCTCAGCAGTCTTGCAGCAAATGGAAGTAGGAAAGTCGAAGTGGCAGTGTGCAATTTTGCGTGGCTCAGTTTCAGAGGGAGAAAACGATTTGAATCTACTGACTTTCCTACACATTCTTTTATTGATGAAACGTACTATTTATTCGGCCTTTGCCACCTTCAGCATTCAATGAAGAGATAGTATTTTTTGATTTGAGAAGCAAACTTGGGTAAGGTGAACCGCACCTTACTTTTTGCAATGGTCAAACTCGTTCTTCACACAGCTTATGGCTTTTCGATTGCTCGTTGTGCTCAATTTCGCTTCTGCATGCTTTCACCGATCTGAAATGGAGCATTCTAAGCTTTGAGAAAGGGGCTCCAGACGTCCGCTCAAAAAAGAAGAGCCACTGCATCAAATTAGCTCATTGCACGCGATACCTCAAAATAAGCGGAGGTAAGGTTCCGTCAAGACCACCGTCAATTTTCAGCGTGTTGCGGAACAGGACGAAAATGCTGCTACCAAGGAGGTTTCGCCCATCCGGTCTGCGGTTATCGAAGCGGCTCCAGCAAAGAAAATCGCCCAGAAACTGGAGGAGCGACTCAAGACTACCTCGATTAAGGTTTGTAATCTACTCGATAACATCAATTTCAGTTTCAACAGTGCTTCTTTGCAGATTCCCACTCCAAAACCGATCATTAGTGCACCAGCAACAGCTACTGATGCACCCATTACGCCAACTAATATCGGTGTGCACACACAGTGGCGTGGTAGGCACAACACTCCAGTTGTTGTAGGTTCCACACCAGGTGTTCCGATTCAACCTGAAGTGTGCTCAAGCAATCTGAAGTCGTTGAAGTCTCGATGGGAGGTGCGCATTAAATTCGATATTACTTTTCCTTTGGCTGTGATAGTTGACTTCTCACGGCTTATTTTTACTCATTCAGTTCTCTTCACTAACGGGTACTCCACTACACCCCGACGAAACGGAAGATGATATCGTGAAAGCCGCCATCCGCATGCGTGAGAGGGCGATTCCACGCAAGTTCGACGATAAACCCAGAGATCCACAGCCTTACCTCGCGAAGAAGATTGAAAAAAGCGTTCAGGAAGCCAACAAGGTTCTACATGATCGTTTGAGGTCATAGTGTCAGGTGTAATAGTTTACTATGTTCTGTTTAGCGCTCTTCCTTATGTTCGCCCAAGTCGAAGAGTCCGCGCTATATGGACGAGTCTGATGAAAGTGAAGACGGCAAAGCGGGTGACCGTAAGGTATCGTTTCGTTCTTACATCTTGTTTGTCGGCTTCTAGCATTGGTTATTGTTTCTAGGCCAATTCTGTCATAAGAAACGCATATTCTCCGTACAAGTCGCCTGCTATAAAGATAGCTCAAAGGAAGTCACCTAGACACTCACCGAAGTCACCGATGCGTTTAGAGCGGCCGGACACAGCAGAGGAAGTTAATGTTCTTGGAGACGATGAGGTTCGTCATAGTTTACGTTACTTGAATTGAAAAGAGTTGATCTTCGCGGGTTTGGTGAACCAGTAGTGGAAGTATTTGAAGTGCATCATTGGATTCAGCTGCCTTTTTGGTAGAGTTCTGGGTTTTTCTTGTCTACAGTTTTTGTTAGAAATCTTTTGTGGTGCAGAGAGCGAACTAGTTGAGCATGGCCGCATCCATACACGCTAAAAAAGCTTCTTAATTTCATCTGAGAACGGTGGAGCTATGGAAGCATTTAAACTGTGAGAAATTGGACCCGCCAGAACAGTGAAGCAAGAATTTGTTTTTCAGAATTTCCCATGGTTTCAAGAAATAACAGAAATGAATTCCCTGCACAGCTTCTTAAAGGCGGTATAAGTCCGTCTCCATAAATTATTGCTTAAAAAGTTTAGGAATCAATGGATGAATTGAACGTTAGTCATAACGTATCAAATTTAATCGATCAGGCGTTCGAGTTCATGGACAAAACGCCGAACAAGAGTGCTGGCGATGCGACTCCCATGAAGCCTGATCGCGATGGTGTCGCTCCTCATGCTGAAGAGGTATGCCTTAGAGGAATCTTTGTTCAGGGCATTGACTCAAGATACTGTTCCTCCAGTTCATTTCCATCCATGGTTTGCGCTTTCATAATGTTAATTCAGTTAAGTAGATTACTGTCGATTTTTCGTAATGGGAGGAGGAACTTTCATCTGGTTCTCTATGAATTTTCAATAAACAAGAGTGAGCAGCTTTGATTTAGGAATGCTTTTCACCTATCAAGCAACAGCCAATTTCATTGCCGGTACCGCCTGAGGTGTACAAGTCCCCTTATGAGGAGCCTGCGGTGTATAAATCCCCTTATGAGGAGCGTGCGGCCACTAAATCTTATGAAGAGACGGATTCCGCTAAACGCGATGGTTAGTTCCTGAACAAACCTATCTACTTCACTCAGCACTCGAAAAATTGGTTTCAAAATTCAGGTTCATCACTTCCGTATACGGTATCGTTTTATCGCAAACGTATTCGCGAAATGCGTTCCGCAGATACTGGTGTGGAGAAAATAGATTTGACGACAGACGTTGCAACTGCACCTATCCAGACAATTATTGGAGGCGCTGCACATGAAGATCAAGAAGAGGATGCTGAGACCAGACAGGAGAGAAAGGTGACATCAAATTCTTTCTAGGCTTTGGAAGGCTGCGTATGTTCCATTCTTTATAAGTCCCTAATATTAGGCTGCGATGGAACGTGAAGTGAGTATACAGCAACAGCGAATAGCACAAGCTACTCATGCTTTGCGTTACTGTAAAGAGCAGACCGAGTTTAGGGGAAGTCGCGAAGAGGTAAGTATCTAAAGTCAATTTATCTAGGTTGACTTGATACTAAAAGTGGCCTATTTCGTCTGTATTTAAAAATTCCATGAAACTTTTTAGGCCTATTCTAACGAACTTTTGATTCCCTTCTTTTTACCCTTCCCTTTTGCTGTAACTGCCAGAGTTAGAAAAGTTATTTAAAAGCCTTTCTACCCTTCTACTCAGTCCTTTTTGAGTGTTGTTTGTGTAGGTTGATGCTCAGCGAGCCCTTTTGATTGCAACTGAAACAAGACGTGCTCTGCTTTTCGAGATTGATCGGCTAAATCGAGGACTGCCGAAGGGGTTTGTAGTTTTTGTGTTACAACTTTTTACGATAGATTGAGAATCTTTATGATTTGTCGTTTACAGAGCCCCTGGACCACGAGGAACGCTCACGATAACCAGCATTAACGTTCTTCTTAGTCAAGAATTCGTCAACTCACAGTTCAACTATACCTCTAATCGTGGCTAGTCATTTTCATTGTGCTGTCCTTAACGTTATTTATCACCTGTCGTTTTCAGAAGATATATATTACTTCATAGTTCTTCTTCGACATGGTTGCGAGGTCCAACATACCTCGTTGGTGACAAGTGATGAAGGTTTAAGGAAAAAGGTCAGAGTTCACTTCAATCGGTGTTCAATTCCGTTCTCGATGTACCTTTCGGAATGTTTCCGATGAGCACAAGTTTTCCAGTTACCAGCAGTATCTTTCTGAAAAAAAAACAGTGGTTGAGTTTCAGAACTGTTTATGATTCTAGGGCGTGCTCGAATTCAATTATTATCTATCGCTCAAGGATCTGCCTCCAAACTTCGTGTGTGCTCTTGAAGTCTTCGGTCTAGTGAGTATCTTCTTATGCTAAATTCGTGGCATTTGTTCTTGAACTCTTCTGTTCCAATTTTCGTTCTGCATTTGTTTTTTACCCAAACCTTATAACTGCCCACTGTCAATAGTATTTACTTTGAATTCAGCGAACGAAAAGAGAACATATCTCTCATGAGGTCAAATATCGCCTTACTGGAACGTTGAGCAAGAAGGTGAGTTTTTCAAGTGCCCTCACACACATGTTCTAAGGATTAACTAAAATTACTAATTTTCCTATAGATACAGTATGAATCGGTTACTTTTGCAGATTCTCGAAATGCTCAAAGGCTCTGTAAGCTTGTTTTCGGTGTATTTCATTCATGTTTGATAAAACATGTTTATTCGTTTAGTAGGTCTTAGAGCCTTTCATTGTTTCCTGAATGCCCATCTGGGCATTGATATGTGAAGGAAAGACAATTCAACAATCCCACTGTCCTTCCTTCAGGTATCAGTGACCAGTGTATGCAGTCCCTCTGCGTTTGCATCGCGGTTAGAATGCAATGTGTCGTGCATGTTG